GGTCCTTTGTATGATGTCTTTGTCTTCTGTGGCCGGTTGTTTTCCTCAATCCGACGTTGTGTCTCGTTGGATGTGAGCGTGCCGTGGTGTTCATTGTGTTTTTGCTGTGATGGCTTATACTTGTGATGTGTGACTGCCCTTTTGGGTGTCTTGTGTTTAAAATGGCCGTATCTCTGGTTATACCTGGTCGTTTTGTACGATTTTTGTTTCTATGTGCGTAATTCTTCGCGCTTGTACTCCTCGGCATGATAGGAGCCGATGAAAATGTCTTGTTCTCTTGTGTTGTTTTGCGTGCCGTCGTGATTTTGATGTCGGGGTTGCACAGCTTTGCTTTCGGCTCTGAGGTTCAAACACCTAATTTATTATCCGTGAAGCGAGCTCCTTTTCTGCCCGAGCCATTATTAAAAAAAAAAAAAAAATTATTATTAGCCATGCTCAGCCAGGTCATTTGTTAGCTCCTCTTCTGCCTGGGCCAAGCTCGGTCCGGTTCTGATCTGCGAGACCCGGATCTGCGAGCTCCTTTTTCGTCAGATCATGAACAGCAAGGTCCCGATCCGTGAAGCGAGCTCCTTTTCTGCCCGAGCCATGCTCAGCCAGGTCATTTGTTCGCTCTTCTTCTGCCTGGGCCAAGCTCGGTCCGGTTCTGATCTGCGAGACCCGGATATGCGAGCTCCTTCTCTGCCTGGGCCATTCTTCGCCAGCTCCCGATCCGCGAGACCCGGATCTGCGAGCTCCTTATTCATCAGGTCATGAACAGCAAGGTCCCGATCCGTGAAGCGAGCTCCTTTTCTGCCCGAGCCATGCTCAGCCAGGTCATTTGTTAGCTCCTCTTCTGCCTGGGCCAAGCTCGGTCCGGTTCTGATCTGCGAGACCCGGATATGCGAGCTCCTTCTCTGCCTGGGCCATTCTTCGCCAGCTCCCGATCCGCGAGACCCGGATCTGCGAGCTCCTTATTCATCAGGTCATGAACAGCAAGGTCCCGATCCGTGAAGCGAGCTCCTTTTCTGCCCGAGCCATGCTCAGCCAGGTCATTTGTTAGCTCCTCTTCTGCCTGGGCCATGCTCGGTCCGGTTCTGATCTGCGAGAGCCGGATATGCGAGCTCCTTCTCTGCCTGGGCCATTCTTCGCCAGCTCCCGATCCGCGAGACCCGGATCTGCGAGCTCCTTTTTCGTCAGATCATGAACAGCAAGGTCCCGATCCGTGAAGCGAGCTCCTTTTCTTCCCGAGCCATGCTCAGCCAGGTCATTTGTTAGCTCCTCTTCTGCCTGGGCCAAGCTCGGTCCGGTTCTGGTCTGCGAGACCCGGATATGCGAGCTCCTTCTCTGCCTGGGCCATTCTTCGCCAGCTCCCGATCCGCGAGACCCGGATCTGCGAGCTCCTTATTCGTCAGGTCATGAACAGCAAGGTCCCGATCCGTGAAGCGAGCTCCTTTTCTGCCCGAGCCATGCTCAGCCAGGTCATTTGTTAGCTCCTCTTCTGCCTGGGCCAAGCTCGGTCCGGTTCTGATCTGCGAGACCCGGATCTGCGAGCTCCTTTTTTCATGAACAGCAAGGTCCCGATCCGTGAAGCGAGCTCCTTTTCTGCCCGAGCCATGCTCAGTCAGGTCATTTGTTAGCTCCTCTTCTGCCTGGGCCATGCTCGGTCCGGTTCTGATCTGCGAGAGCCGGATATGCGAGCTCCTTCTCTGCCTGGGCCATTCTTCGCCAGCTTCCGATTCGCGAGACCCGGATCTGCGAGCTCCTTATTCGTCAGGTCATGAACAGCGCGGCCCGGGTGTGCGAGCAACTCTTCCGCCGGGCCATGATAAATAGATTAGGTGTTTTGAACCTCAGAGCTGAAAGCAAAGCTGTGCAACCCCGACGTCAACATCACAACGGCACGCAAAACAACAGAAGACAACCAGACAAATTCATCGGCTTCTATCATGCCGAGCAGTACAAGGGCGAAGACCCACGCTCAAGGAAACAAAAATCGTGAAAAACGACCAAGTATCACCAGAGATACAGCCATTTTATACACAAGACACCTAAAACGGCAGTCAAGCATCACAAGTGCAAGCCATCACAGCACGAACACAAAGAACACACCACGGCACGCTCACATACAACAAGAGACAACGTCGGGTTGAGCAAACAACCGACCACAGAACAAGAAGTCATCACACAAAAGACTTCGCAAAAATGCTACATAATACCAAATAGCAAAAATTATTGCAAAATACGAGCAAAATTACAAAAAAAAAATACAAGTCAGACACAACGAGAACCACCAAGGGAACGACTGGTGCACACAGAGATCCCCACAGAGGGACCCCGAGACGGTGCCTACCTACGACAAGCGTAGGCAGACACCGCCAAAGTGGCGCTGGATGTGGTCAGCGTTCATCTGATGGACCAGCGCCGCAAAGCGACCCTTCCACCGAGGAACAAAGGCCTCATCCAGCCCCGGCTGGTACACACCACGGGCCTCGGCGCAGCGGGCAAGCTGACCAAGCAGATCCACAAACAAAAGAGGAGACAAACACGCCGGTTGTCGTCATCGCTGCAGCGTTTTTCAAATGGTTGAAACTGGTGTAGTACATGTGGTTTGGTTTGGCTTGGCGAATCAGGCTTTATTGAATGGCGTGCTACAGTTTACCCCTCTCATGACGTGTTAAAGCCCGATCTCTGCTTCCACCTCGTCATACTGTGAGGCTCCAGGGCCAAGAACGGATTTGACGCTATTACATACAGTACAAGCAAACTGACAGAATTCTTCTTGTGACAGTTAGTTTGCATAACAAATCCGATTTGTCTCAATCGTGGTGTCGAAGTCTTGTTAACAACACAGTTGGAATGGACTACGACGCTCGCATGCGATAAGTGACTCGCTTGGCTAACTATTTCCTTTGTGATACCTAGCGGCATGAGATGGCTAGCTGCTCTACTGCTTGAATAAATCGGCCTTTACTTGACGTTTCGCTTATCATGGTCTATGCGAGTGGGACATATCGACCAAAGGTTACAGGCGAAGAGAAAAGCAATGAGCGAGATGAGACGCGGACAGGAATGAGGAAACGGCGAACCTCCAGAATTTCTCTAGCTGCAGCTTGTTGCATTATTCGTTCATGCTGCTGAGCTGTGTGCATCAAGAGCGGATGCAACAGCGCAGAGCAATTCTAGATGTACAATGCCATCGTGATGAGTGATGCGTCTCGCAGTTTCCTTTTGAGATATCTTCACCACGGAGCGAAAGAATGTCTATATTCTCACTTGTTGTAATGCCCACAAGATGGCCCCGACATGCGTCACGTTGGCGCGGGCCACCTCGCTCGTTATCGCGGTGACTGCAGTCTCAATGATCTGGTGTGCAAGATTCGAGGAGACCAAAACGGCTTGCTGTAAGTCAGCCCGCTGGCAGACCAGCTCGATAAGAACGGCCAAGCATTGGCAAGCGGCTGCAACTGTCGTCATCTCGTTGAGCTTCAGGGCGGACAAGCACCATAGAGCAATGTTGTGCAGGTGATCGGCCGCATCGGGGGACTGTAGTAGGTGTTCGCCTTCCGTTCGGTAAAATTTACTGGCCAAGGAAAAAAAGGTGCAGACAACGCCTGGCTCGTCGAGAAAGGCGCCCGAGGAAAAAAGTTGAGCCATGCGTCCACGCACGTCAGCAAAAGTAGCAACCAAAGTGGGGATGGCACTTTGTTGCCGGCCAAAGACAGCTTGCAGCGCTACCATGGCCTCCAGCACAGGTGCACTCGGTGCAGCCTCGAACATAGACTGCAGGGTCATGCAAAAGCTGGGTAACAGTGGCTCAAGCTGCATCTTAGCCACACGTAAAGCGTGCCCAAGAAGATCACGAATGGCGCTGGTCACTTCTTCATTCTGGTAGCAGGTCGAAGCAACCTGATGAACGATAGGCCATAAAGCCTCCAACATCTGCCCAAGCGCAAATGAAGATACCAAATGTGTTGAAATTGGACCCGAGCAACTAGTGAAGTACTGGTTGAGAAAAGAAAAGAAGACGCCCTACCTTGCCAAGGACGTCACCTTGTACAATCAAAGAGCGAAATCCGTGGCCAATGACACGAAGTTCGGCCGCGGCGCGGCTTTGTAAGTCCCAGCCTTCATCGCCCACTACTTGCAATTCCTCTGCTACGCGTGTCAGGTTGACGAATTCGTCCGCGTAACAGCGATTGAGCTAGATTTAGGCGCATGGCAGTCCAGCAGCAAAGTTAGCATCGTTGGCACTTGGACGTGTTTGTCATTGGCACAGCATCAACTCACCCAGGTAGCCGCGAGGTCAGGAGTCGGGAGGGCTCGTGCAATGAGGGTCAAGGCCTCAATGACCTGCTGTCGGCTGGTGGTGGAAAGGCCGGCCTGCGTGGCCTCTCGGCGACGCTTGATGATGCTGTCCAAAAAGGGCGCGAGCTGTTGACGGCACTCGGTTGCCAGTTCGCGCAAAGCCTCACAAGCTGCCTCGGAGCCAGAGATGCGGTGACGCCGAACATCTGGTAGCCAATTTCCACCCACGTCACGGGCAACAGACCCACGCCGCGGGCGTGTCGTCACATTTGCTACCATGTTGCGCAGCAGGACAACCATAGGTTCTTCCAAAAGTTGCGGACGACGGGCTAGCCAGGACGCCAAGCCGCCAATGCAACGAATCGCTGCTACGTCCACGAGCTAAGAGCACAGGCAATGGCGTTGGCTCTTGAGCTATCAGGTGACCATTGTGGGTATTATGTTTATGTGATAAAACAAACGGACCGGATCTGTAGGTACTGTCGTCAAAAGGCGAACGACTTGGGGGACTAATGCCTGCACAGGCAAGCGATTCGTTGTGAAATGGGCATGGTCAACTTGATACGTGGCTGCAGGTGGGACTTACTTCATCTTTCACGTCGAAAAAGCCAGCAGAACGGGCGACGCATTCAAGGGTTGCCTCAATGACAAACACTTGATTTGAGTTTGCGAGGGCTTCCTCCAATAATTGCAGCATCAACTGTGGTCATGTTCGTTCGTGGAGAGAGATAAAGAGATGGAGAGAGATTGGGGCAAATGTTGTGAGAGGTCATTGATGGCTCAGTCAACGGTTGATAAAGCATGATAAAGCACAAGACAACCTGCAGGCACGAGTGTTGCAGGAAGCATGATATGTACATCACTAGCTCGCCAGCCTCATTGCGATATCCTGAGAATAGAAGCCAAGACGACACGACCAGAGCGGCGATGAGTGCGGCAAAAGAGGGCACGCACGACCTTGTGTCACACAGGTGAGAAGGGAAGGTCAGCAGAATGGCACGAGGCACAACGGACCTTCGATATCAGCTTCTGTTTCGGGATCCAATTGGTAAATTGAATCGGGATACATCATCTTGTTTCGAAGAGCAATGAGCAATGCCTGAAGCAATGGGGCCAGAAGTGTGCGGTACTTTCGACGCTCGTCTGGTTGAATTTTGATTTGAGAGCCAGCAATGAGGCGAGAAAACACGCCATTGTACGTGGTCGAGCATCACCTTGACCGCGAAACATGCGTCGCTCCAGTTGCAAGGGGAGCACGTACCACTGGGCAGCCCAACCACGTGCTCAATCAAAGCATACCAAGACTTTAGAGTAAGGCGCGAGCAATCCTCGTCAATGCATGCCTGCCATGATTGGTGTACGATACATAAGCGCCAACTGGTGAGCATCGATATAATGCTGTCATTCGGAGATGAAAGAGAGTGAAGAGAGAAAAAGAGAGAGCTGGTTTAAACCTGGCCTGGGGCATTGGTGCAGGCGTAAAACATTTGTAATACTTGTGCACCCGCTGGGATGTGCAGAAGTGCATCAACGTGAGCGTCTAGCATAGACGAGAGGACCTAGATTGATACACGAATGGCCAAAGTCAGGACTGCAGGTGGCTTTGGCACCCGTATCACAGGGGGCGGGTCACTGACGCGGGCAAGCCCCTCTATGACGTCGACACGTGCGTCGCGAGTCGCTTCTTCCAAAAGAGGCTGAAGCTGTTGCAGCGTGTCAACCAAGACCTGCAGGTTGGTTGGGCCTGGGTATGCACCAGAGGCTGAGCTGAAAACAAGTGGCCATAGACGAATAACAGGGGGAGGTGAAAGGCATGTGCCACCACGTACTGCTGGCGTCGCGATGAGTGACAATCGCAACAAGAGCTTCTACACCAGCTTCGAATGAAGCCTCCGATTGTGTGGCGGCAATCACATGTTCTGAGTCATCGAGGGGAGGCACGAGTAAGAGGGGAGCAGGCTGTGCAAAGTAGGAAGACTTTGGAGCAAATCCAGGGTCAAGAAAGATGTACCAAAGTGTGGGCCAATGGTAGAAAGTGGGCAGTTGCCCGTTTCCACCCATGCGGTCAAGGCGTGAAGGGCTTCGTTCAGGAGCGAATCGCGGCGCGAAAGAATCTAATGCAAGCCATTCCCAATCGGCAATAGGACAAAAGCTAAAATGAGGATCTGTCAAGCTGAATGGCCTTGTGTGGAAAAGGGTACAGGGGCCACGCACGGAAAGGATGCCACTGAGAGCCAGTTCTTGGGCGGCTGCCAGTTGTAGAGCAGCATGTTGTTTGCGTGTCCCGATAGTCTCTTTGCCACCGAGCACTGGGGGTGGAAGGGCCGGCCCGAGTCAAGGCGTGGTGGTATGGTATACTCGTGACCGCAGACACACAGAATGCAATCGGAAAAAAAGCGAGTGGTGAGTTCAAACCTTGCGCAAAGGTCGTTACAAGATCCAGCTGCAGCAGGACGTCGTCCGAAGGAACATCGGATAGGATCTAGCATGGGACACGGAGGAAGATGAGCATGGGTTGAGGTTGTGCGATATGACGCCACAGTTTTTGCATGAACAAAAGCTTGCTTGCACAAACCGCGGCTAGTGCATTATCAAGCGAGCCCGATGGGGCGCATAAAACCAGGGTGACCAGCGCCACGCAGAGCTGGCGTCGGACAAAGCGTGCCTTCTCACGGCAGCTACGGTATTGGCGCATATCGAGTCAGTCCTTGCATTGAGTTGGGCAAGATATGGGTGGGGGTGCTCGTCGGTGCATGTGTTTGCGGGTCGTCAGCGACAAAGAGAAGTAGTACCGTAGGACAGCGCCAAGCAGCTGCGGCGGTAGAGCTTGAAAAAAGTCGGCATTTGTTTCAGGGTTGAGTAGGAGGATGTGACGCTGGAGGACGCAAGCACCGTAAAAGTTGGCTTCATCCGGCAGTTTGGGATCAAGAAGGTCAAACACCCAAGGCCACGCGGTTCCTATCAAAAGAGCGCACCACATGGAATTTAGCCGGCTGAGAGGCATGATGTGGCACGGGCAGCAGCTGGCTGCGGCTGATCAGGCAGCTAGGCTGGCGCCGTTTTCAAAGCTTACCACTATCCTGAATGGCAGCCAATCGCTCTTCAGCCTGCAGCCAAGAACAGCACCCAGGCCAGGGTTGATGAGTGCCCGCAAAGGAAGAGTGAACCAATGGAGCCCGACAATGACAGAGCGCGCGCGAACAGGTCAACGTCGTCGTTAAGTCTTTGTCTTATCGGTCAGCACACGCACCTGTCGCTTCACCTCATTATCCGGGGACGAGTACAACGCCATCACATCTTGCAACACCCTCTCCAACTCCCTCCCAGCCCGCCCCGACCCATCAGGCGGCTGCTCCCCCGGTCCCGCCATCTTCCTCTGCTCCCGCGCCTCCTGCTGATGAAAAATTTATGTGTGTGTGTGTGTGTGTGTGTGAAGGAGAGATGAATTCAATGTCAGAATGTCAGACGAACGATGCATGCCATGCCTTCATCATGGATGGCTAAGAGAGAAGAGCGGGTCGTCGTCACTCAATTGACATGGAAGGGAGCGGGGGAGAGGGAATGGGCGGAGGATATATTATATTACAGGCATCAAGCCGTCCCAGGCGAGGACGGGATGCATGTGGCCTAGCCAGGCCTGGCTTGGTGTGGTCTGCTGCGCTGAAGCTTTGTGAATCTCGTAAAGCCCGGGTTGCTGTCTGCGGCCGCGCCCTCCCCTCGCCCTGTTCTCACGCAGGGCGAAGGGAAGGTGGTGTGCGGGAAGCATCAATGTCCAATCCTGCTTGTGAGGGCAGTAAGCAAAGGACCAGGAGACAAATGCCTCGAGACAGTACAACCTAATAATCAGAGACACGACAGCCATGGTCATGGTTGTAGCCGTGCTCGTCACAAAGGGGACAAGTTTCACGTTCAGGCCGCGGTCACACCAAACACAGGCCCCACACGCCTGCACGGATGCAGCAAGAGCATCAGGCAGACATGTTGGACAAGAATCCTCTCTTGCATTCCCATCTCTTTCCCTGCTTCATGCAGCAAGGGAGCGCCGAGCATACAACCAACAACAAACAAGGCGCGCGCACGAATGCTTGCGCCAAAAAAACTACATCGCAGCCGCATGGCCTCTCTCAAAGCGAAAGACCCCGGGGTGCAGTCATTCCCGCACACACAAAACACGACATTGCCAAGTCCACCCGGAAAGCCTTGCTTGCCACGTGTGCACCTCTTGTTGTCGAACAACCACTTTCGTGGCACGACTCTGGCTTTACACTGGCAAGCAGCTCTCAAAGGCTCCTTGGCAAACGCGTGGTTTGGTATGCGAGCAAACAGCACTCCCCAGGAGGCTGGTCAAGCAAGGGTATGGGTGAGAAGCACATACTCCCTGCCTACCACGCCACATGCGCTGGATGCATGGCCTTTTAGGCGCGCTGGCCAAGGGCCGCTTCAATGGCCTGCTTGATCTCTTCCACCTGCGCTTCGTTTGGGAAATTGCCGCGCTCCTTCTTGGAGTGGATCAGCTTGCCGTTGACAACGACCTCAAAGGCGCCACTCACCTGCGGTGTTGGCTGCCAGTCCGCACCACACGAAACATAAGAAGAGTAGGGTGCCAGACCGCAAAAGAGGTCGCACCCCACCCCACCAAGGCGGTGCAGGCACTCAACTGCGCACTTAAACCTCGCCCCTCCCTCCAAGCCACTGACACAATTGGCACAACCGGTCTTACCTCGCAGGTGAACTTCATCTCAGAGTCGTCAAACGTCTCGAGCAAAAGTCGCTCAAATGCCCTCACTTTGGAAAGGTAGCCTGAGGGGAGGGTGCGCATGAGCATGATGAAATAAAACAAGCAAGCAGCGCGAACATGGCGGCCAACGGTCCCGGGTTCACACACACACACACACACACACACACACACACACACGCGCGCGCACACGACCAGCCGTGATTGCAACGACTCACCTCAGGCCCCACAATAGACGACGTGGACGTTCACAGGCTGAGCCATGATGCCGGTGTTGAAGAAGAGAGAGAGAGAGAGAGAAAGAGAGAGAGAGCGTGCAAAGAGAGAGGAAACGAAAATGACTCTTGCTCTCACTTCTCTCTCTCTCTTGAGTTTTTTTTTTTTTTTTTCGTTGTTGTTGGAGCTCTGTGGTTTCTTCGTTCACGAATACCAGTCTCGGATGGCGGCTTTTGTGGCCTTGCTCACCAGATGCATTGGTATTTGCAGTAGGTGGCAGGGCAGGTGGTGCGGCTGTATGCCCAATGAATCAAGGTTTCTTTAGATCGTGTAATTGAGTAAGCACTCGTCATCTGGTCAAACAGCCTGTGGCACACTCAGCAGCCGTCAAAAAACACCATAGGAACATCATCCAAACACGAGAGCTCTTCTTGGCTTGGGTTGAAGCCATTTTCGTGCATATCCCGTCGTCGCCGTCCTGCAGCAAACTGCGTTCCTCAAAGTTCCTCTTCCACGCCCCTCAAAATTGATTGGTCAGGTTGAGCGTCAAAGTGCGCTGCTGGTGTTGCGAGGCTGCCAACATTTCCTCCCGAGACCCTGTGATTTAAAAAACACAAATTAAAGACACACACACACACACACACACACACACACACACACACACACACACACAAACACAACATGTCCATACACAACCACACAACCACAGGCCCATCACCATTGCCAACAACCATCATCAGCCACGAAGGTGGGCGAACAGAACGTCATTGACAAGGCCAAACGGAAACAGCTTCCGTAAGCATGGCGTGCTGGCAGCAAGTAGAAAAAAAATCGATGAAAGAGAAATGACAGGACTCAAATCACGCAGACGCATCGCTTGACTTGCGCTTGTGCCGCCTTCGCTCGCGTTGTTGCTCCCAATACTTGCGTCCTTCGTCCGCCAACCAGACGGTGGAGCAAAGCATCACAAGAAACACCATATCCTGTGTAGCACACGCAGAACCAACCAAGCAAAAGGGACGTCATCGTGGGCCGAGATCCATACTCGTTCCCTCGTTAAACACCGCCCGCAATCAAGACGTACACCAAAGCCTAGTGCCTCCGTTTGGAAAATGGCCTGCAGTGGCGGAAGATAGATGACGGCCAGTTGGCCGAGCAACGAGCCGCCAACAGCGTACAGAAATACCGAATTGGAAAAGAGCCCAATCTCCCGAATTGACTGCAAAAGCAACCGCAACCGCAACCGCAACCGCATGTTTGTCAGCAAATGTTCGTGTCCAAGCGAAAAAGTATTGCAGCTTTCAGCAAGACAGCCCAGCTTTGGAATCGTCATGATCTGCAAACCTTGTTTGTGGAGCGGCAGGTAAGAGCGTTGAACATGTCAAAGAGAACAAAACACGTAAAGGTCATGGTCGTGTCGCGCTTGGTCACGACGTCATCCTGTAGCTCCCGAAAGTACACGTACAAGACACCTGACCGGACACAGCAAGCAAAGGGTGAATAATGTCGCCGCAAGTTTGAACGCAGATGAGCAAACTGGTTCTCCCTGGCTGTGTCATTGGCTCAAGGTGAGAGCAACAGACCAGTCACGATAATGGCCGCAGACATGATCACATTGCGCAAAAGCTTGGCTGTCAACATGGGTTCCTGCCATAACCAGCAAGCGATCGTGAGAGTGCATCAAGTTGTGGCTGGCCAAGCGCAAGGATCGGTCTTGGTGCTTCAAATGTCGGCACTGCTATCGACTTACTCGCGCACGACGGGGTGGCATGGTCATGACGTCGCGCTGCACCGGCTCGACACCCAAACTGCAATCGTGACACAAAGATGGTGTGGTTAGTACAGACAGGTGTGCCATAAAGTCCATGATCCGAAGAGGTGCCGTTGCCCAAGCCCGGATTAGAGCAGGAATACGCACCTTTGCGCTGGTGGACCGTCCATGAGAATGTTGATCCACAGAATTTGCATGGCATTCAGTGGTGAGTGCATTCCCAGCATAGTTGTGATGGAAATGAGGGTAAGTGCCGCCACAGACGTGCTAAGCTGAAATCTGCTCATGTCACCAGCGCAAGCGTTTGCTGTGAGAGAAGCATTCAGCCAACCCGACTCATTCAAAGCGTGCAATCTCATCAGGGCCCAGTCAAGTGCTCCACACGCACCGCAAAAAGTTGCGAACATTGTACGCAATGCCCTTGCCCTCCTCAATCGCATGCATGATGGTGGAAAAATTGTCATCCACCAAAATCATGTCGGCTGCCTCCTTGGCCACATCTGTGCCAGTTTCACCCATGGCCACACCGATCTCGGCCAGCTTCAAGGCAGGGGCGTCGTTGACGCCATCCCCTGTGTATCAGGTGCCAGCCACAAACATGAACGGTATACACAGCATTCACATGCGTTGATCCAGGCATCAAGGGCAATGTCCCCACCAGTCATTGCAACAATGTGGCCATTGTGTTGCAAGGCCTGTACAATCTTCAGCTTGTGCTTTGGACTAAGAGCGCAGGAGAGACGTGAGTGCCTTGTGACCCGTCCCCAAAGATCTGTATCAGGATGGACGACACAGACCTGGTGCGATAGAACACGCGCACATCCTCAATGATGCCTTCAAGATCGAGCTGATCCATGGCTTCAAGCTGTGTCCCAAAGAGCAGGATGAAACAATTCAGTCCAGCCTGGTAGCAGTAACGACGCGTCGACGTGGCCGATGCCGGGGCGCATACCTCTGGACCAGAAAGAGAACGGTGAACGCCTGGATTGTAAAAGCCAAGCGACTGCGCAATGGCCTCTGCTGTCGCCTTCATGTCACCAGTGATCATCATGACCTTGACGCGAGATTGCTGGAGCAGTGCCACGGCCTCCCTAGACGGATGTAAAATATCAACACAACATTAAGATGTGTGAGTGCCAAGGGCGAGTGCAGGCGTTGTAGCCATCAACCTAGCAACGGCATGTTTCATCAAATCAATCAGACTGGGCGAGCAAGTCTCACCTGACACCCGCACGTGCTTGATCAGCGATGGCCACAATGCCTGCCCCCCAGCACGTGCACATGAGTAAGCACAAAGACGGAGCAGAGGCAGAAGAGCAAGGGGAAACAAGCACATCAAAAAATCGAAATAGGGGGGGCGGGGGCGGGGGGCAAGCCGTTGGATGCAAAACAAAAAAAAAAAAAAAAAAACAGGTGACCTCCCCCAGAAAGCGTGATGGCACACAAACCCAAAATGGCAAGCTCATCGAGCGAGGCACCAGAGGCAAGCGCAATGACGCGAAAGCCTTGCGCAGCATATTGATCGGCACGCTGCGTTTTCAAGCATTCCATTTGCGGCCACCAGGCGCAGATGGGTGAAAGAGGTCAGAAACCAAGAAACCAAGACGTGTTGCAGTTGTAGACGCGGGCCCCAGGCTGAGGCATCATGATCCCGCATATAGACCAACCTGATTGAGTATTTGCACATCGAGTTCTGAGAGGTGCCGAACTTGATGGCCAGAGGAAACATGTCGACACTTGGTCAGAAGCACATCTAGAGCGCCCTGTCACAGCACAAGACCAAAACATGTCATCAGGGAGGAGCAGCATTTCCATTTCAAGTCACGTCAAATGAAAACATTGGGCCAAAAGTGGAGGCCGTGGCTCAAGGCTACCTTGACGAAAAAAGAGGTCTGCTGGGTGTCGCGTGCTTTCACACGAACAGCCATCCACTTGGTATCTGAGGAAAATGGAATCTCTTCCAACCGCTCGAAATTGGCCGCTCGAGATTGAAGGCCGGCCTTGTAAGCTGCCACGAGCAAGGCACCCTAAGTGGATTGTGTTGCAAAGGGCAATCAGTCACCGCAGTTGCGCTACGAGACGTGCTCGAGGGTATCACGTTAGGATAATGAGCAAACAGACTTCGGTAGGTTGACCAATGAGGTGCCCGCGGTCGACTTGAGCGTTGTTGCAGACCATGCCCGCCTAAGTACCAAACAGAATGTGTCACAACAAAGGCACAAAGCAGATGTTGGCGAGGGCCGATGGTCTGGCCTTGGGCAAAAAGCAGGCTCTGAAGCAAAGATGCTAGTGCTGACCAGAAGCAAGTGTGTCATGCTATTAGACTGGCCATTGGGAACGGGCGAGCCGCTCGAGTCCACGACTTGAATGGTGCCACTGTTGATCAAGTAGCCGCTGCCCGTCATCTAATGCAGACATGATTGGATGAGAGGCGACACGGTTGCGCGGGAGGAGGTCGTTAATCCCACGATCTGACCTCGGCTTGTAGCTGATCAAAGATTGAGAGCGCATAACGGCCCACCATCTTGTTTTCAGTTAGGGTACCTGTGGATTATTGTCAGTAACAATATCAGCGTGAGGGCATCGGACGCGCGATGCTGCAGTTCAGCAATGGAGCTCAGACGTTTCAGGCCCAGTGCAGCAGCTTCTCAAATTGAATAGTTACACTGACCGGTCTTGTCCGAGCACACCACGGTGGCGGAACCGAGGGCTTCGACGGCCGGCAGTTTTTTGACAATGGCGTTTTGTTTCGCCATGCGCATCACGCCCAAGGCGAGGGTGACGGTGACCACGATGGGAAGACCCTCGGGAATGGCAGCCACGGCCAAGCTGACGGCGATGGTGAACATTTTGACCAACGGCTTTCCCTGCAATACGCCAATGATCATGATGACGCCAATGATGCCGAACGACAGGAAGCTAAGTTGTTGACCAAGAACCCCCATCTGCTCTTGTAACGGTGTTTTTCGCTCCTCAACATCCTAGAGGAGGAAGAAAGAGGAGATGATTGACCGAGAGAAGAGGCGAGCAGCCGATTAAAGCACGTGAGAGGAAGAAGGGAAGGAAGCTTCACAAACTGGATGTTGGTGGTAGCGTGCAGATTGGGCAGGCGGCCATGGAGCACGTCAACGTACATCCAGCATTTGAAAAATGATGCCAAACTCTGTGGCACCGGCCGTGGCAGTCACAATGCCCTTGCCGTGGCCCTGGCGCACCAGCGTGCCCATAAAGGCCATGTTGTCCCTAAGGATTGCCAAGGTCCTCAAGCGGATGAGAAGAAGGTGGAGGATCGACTGGGAAGGCAAGGGCGTGGATGGGTGCTGTACTTAAGGGGCGCGTACCGGTCGGCAATGTGTGTGGCTGAAGCTTGGTCAATGACGTGGCAGCGCTTGCTGCGCGTCTTGTTCTCGCCTGTCAAGTTGGATTCATCAATCTCCAAGTTGACAGCCTTTGATCAAGGGCGAGGTTGCAGAGTGATAGAGTGGGTTAGAGGTGACGCAGGCGCGCCATGGCCGGTCAAGGAAGAGGGGGACCTGGACAGACCTCGATGAGGCGGCAGTCGGCTGGGATACGGTCACCGACACCAAAGGTCACCAGATCGCCCACCACTAGAACAACACGCCACCAGCGTTGGCGCATACAGCGTGGGCGAGGTTGATTAGCGAAGACGCTCATGGGCAAACATATCAAGGCAACGGGCATGAGAAGGCTTGTGTGGCGGGTGCCATCTGCGAAAGAAGTACGCACCAACGTCTGCGGCAAGAGCGCCCTGTTTGGTATTGTCGCGAATGAGCCAGCATTTTTGTGGCACCTGATGCGGGAAAAGGGGAGAACATAACATGAGCTCATGGTTTGAGAAAGGCGTGGCACTTGGGTTCAGAAGCGCCGAGGCATACCAGTTTTGTCAGGGCTTCGAGTGCTTGCTCCGATTTGTACTCTTGGACAAAAGCGACGGTTACCACAATCATGATGGCCTGCGAGGCACGGAAGCACGCGTTGCAAGAGCATGCGGGGTCAAGAGAGGATGGATGGGTCGGATGAAGGCCAAGGTCAAGGTGGCCAGGACCACTGACGAGAAAGATGCTGAAGGCATCGTCGTATTGTTGCATAATCAGGCTGACGACGGCCGAGCCAATGAGCAACAGGATGAGCGGCTCCTTGAACTATTTTGGGAGGAAGAATACGAGGCGATGGGGATGTGAGCATGTGCACGCGCACGTCTGTGTGGGGTGGCAAAGAGAAGATGTCCCAGCACAGACGGAGAGAGAGCTGCAACTGTCTCGAGATGTGCATGCTCAAAGAGCTCCATGCCGATGGGGTACACGCACGGGACAAGAACAAGGAAGCAAGGGGGAAGGTCGAGCCATGAGGCAAAGTGGAAGCAAACCTGTTCGAGATACTTTTGCCAGAGGGGATCCGGCTCGGAGGTCGCAAACTCGTTTGCTCCATGCTCGCGCAGGCGCTGTCCCGCCTCGATGGCCGAGAGACCATGCTTGACATTTCCATTCACGGCAGCCACGACATCCTCCACACTCATGCAGGCCGCCGCCTCACTCGCCACACTCTTGCTCATCCTCTCGTTCACACACACATACATACACACACAGCCCGCACCCCGCCTCTCACAAACACCGCCCCGGCCACTGATGCTGCTGCTGCTGCTGCTGCACCGCCAACTGCCGCCCTGTCTCCGGCAAAACAGACACGTTGACAAGTGCGCGAGAGAGAGAGAGAGAGAGAGAGAGAGAGAGAGAGAGAGAGAGAGAGAGAGAGAGAGAGAGAGAGAGAGAGAGAGAGAGAGAGAGAGAGAGAGAGAGAGAGAGAGAGAGAGAGAGAGAGAGAGAGAGAGAGAGAGAGAGAGAGAGAGAGTAGAGAGCAGAAACAAGTAACAAGAGAAAAGAGAGACACACACAAGAGAACGAGTAGAGAGATGATAGTGTGATTTGCGTCACACTATCGCTTAGGCAGGCGTCCATATCTCTCTCTTTTTCCTTCCACACTCACACACATCTCTCGTTTTTGAAAGGGACCAATATTGGGGTGCTCGGTGCTCCGCCGGCAGCGCGTTGTGAGGGCTGGGAGGCTCGGGGTTTGATGGGTTGTAGCCGTCGTTGTTGGGGGGTTGCCTTGTGCAACAGCCCCTTCTTTTATTTTTCTCGTTGATCTGGTTTCGGGTTTGAATATCACGGCGGGAACGACAGCCGAGCTGAGCTGAGCTGAGCTGAGTGGTACCCGCACCGAGAGAGATAGTCAAGTGCCTGTTGTTAAGCTGTCAAAATGAACAGCGGCGAAGATCTGGAATTTGTGGCCGAGGCGTGCCGCGTGTCTGTGGGTGTGGCCGCGCGCTTGCTGGCCACCCACGGCGGCGATGTGCAGGCTGCTGTCCTCGCAGGTCTGGGTGATCGCTCGCCGACATCGCCGGCTGGCCACGCCACCAAGGCCTCGGCCTCGAGCGAGGACGTCGTTTTGATTGACTCAGAGTCTGACCAGGAACGCTCGCCCGCCGCCAAACGGAGTTGCCCGGGCGTTGGTGAGGCATCCGTACCACCAAGCACGGCTCCCACGACACAGGCTGAGGCAGCGCCCTCAACGGCATCCCAAGTCGCGAGCGAGCACACCGTCGGACAGCTGGGTGTGGTGACCTGGAACATCAACGGTCTCACTGAGGAACCCGGCTTGCTCAAACCGCGTCTGCGAATGGTGGCTCACGAACTGCTCCAGCTTCGTGGGCTGGACGTGATCCTGCTGCAGGAAATGACCACAACGACCGTGGCCCTGCTCCAACCCCTGCTCCAGGCCCGGTTCCCCCACATGCGGGTGGGGTCGACGCAACCCTACTTTACCGCCATGTACAGCCGATTGCCTCTGCTGGAGACGCAACGCCTCGCCTTTGACCGCGAGGCCACCAGCGCCATGTGCCGCAATCTTCTCATGGCCGAGATTGAGCCCCAACCAGGCACACGGGTTCGCCTCCTAACCTCGCACCTCGAATCACTCCGACAAGGTGCTACGGCCCGCGTCGCCCAAGCCCAGCGCGTTCAGGAAGAGCTCGCGAGGCCAGACTGCCTCTGGGCCATTTTTGGCGGGGATACCAATCTTCGAGTTGCCGAAACCAAGCAGCTCAGCACCACGGCCAAGCAACACGGCATCAAGGATCTCTTTGACCTCGCTGGCTGCCCCAAGGAGGCCCGCTACACTTGGGACATGCAGGTCAACGATACCTTGCACATGGACAGGGGACCTCGCATGCGCCTCGACCAGCTCTGGGCCCGCCCCCCTCCAGACGACGCTGGCTTTGACGTGGCCCACTACGCGCTCATCGGGACCCGCCGTTCCGAATCCTTTGGCTTTGCCTCGGATCATTTTGGCATCTGGACCATCATTCGTTATACACCAGACACCTGCAAGACTCGAAAACAGGCTGCGCCTTGAGCACAGAACATTGCAAAAAGGTCACCAAACAGGTCACGAGTGACTGAAGTGAGCGAAAGAGTAGAGCTGTGCATATCCATGTACGTACGACTTGGAAACCGCGGTTTCGAATTGAAACATGGCCCCCAGCCTTGCTGCCCGACCATTCCAACCAAACCGATGCCCTGAGGCTGGCATTCATCACTCTCAAGACCCCACTCCTCGCAGCTCCAAAATCATTCCTGCTTCACTGCAGGTGGCCCTGAACACATTGACATGTTAATATTTTTTTTTTTATGGATTACACACACACACACACACACACACACACACACACACACACACACACACACACACACACACACACACACACACACACACACACACACACACACACACACACACACACACACACACACACACACACACACACACACACACACACACACACACACACACACACACACACACACAACACACACACACACNCATTTTTTTTTTTTTTTTACACTTGACGATTGGTGGCTTGTGGCTGATCATCCTTGGTCGCCGGTGCATGCTACGTACATAATCTGATCGAGGGCGCCAAAACTTTCGCTGCCTCTCTCTCTTTTTTTTTTTTTTTTTTTCCGATCAGGAGGAAGCGTGTGAGTGCCACTGATCGCACTTCACGTGCGCTGGGCAAAAACCCCCGCAACGCCTGCTACCCTCGCCGTGGGTCGGCCAGCTCACCAAGAGGTAAGAGCAAGCGGTCAGCTGACCAGCTGCCGTTTGCACCTGCACACCAGTCACGCTCTGAACTGGACCCTCGGGCATCAGAGAACTGGCTCATGGGATCGGTGGTGGATGTTTGCGGTGGTAGAGATGAGTTCAGATGGAGAGCTGCTGTACGGTGCGTGTACTTTACGGGATCCACAAGAGGCGCTGCAGCTGTTGGAAAGCTGGGACCCCCAACGAATTCGCTCCGCTGCCACTTACAAACATGGCTGGGTGAGCATGCCATTTGATGGGACACTGGTGAATGATATTGGGTATGTGCCACTCATTTTTTTTTAATGCTCCACGTGGATCGACCACTAGGTTGCTGATACACCTCTGCATGAGGCCTGTCATAAAAATCTCGTGGAGGTAGTGCAGATCCTGTTGCGACATGGCGTCGATACTGAAGCCAAGAACAGCGTCAGTGCTGCCTCGCTTCTCTTCCTCAGTGGCTGTGTGTTTTGATGTTGTCCACTTCCCCCCTCCCCCGATCGGGCGCACCTGCTGTTGATATCCGATATTCTACATGTAAAGAGCTCATCATGATGCTATGGTGATGCTACATCTGGACGTAATGGTGGGGCCAACTTCAGTCTGGCTACACGCCACTGCACGTTGCCTGCGTTGACGGTCACGTAGAAGTCAAGGAAATCCTGTTGAAGCACGGCGCAGATGCTGAAGCCAAGGACATTGTGAGTACTCATCCCCACTATGACTGTTCCTCCCCTTGCTCGCCTTCTTTTTGCACCCTATCTGCCGTCCCACCCCTTGCCTCTTTGGCCGTTTCCTCCTGCCGCTCCTTGCCCTTCTGGTTTGGGACATTGTTGCCCTGCCTCATATTGGTGAAGCCAATACACAACACGGGGCGCACACATCGCTCTTCCCCTCACATGCATCAATCGTCTGATGTTGGCCACAACCTCAGTGGGGTGAAACGCCCCTTGACTACGCCCGTCGACAAGGCCTCAAGTTGTCCGTGCCTGCTGACCACGAACAGTCTTAAACTTTTACGACTTTGGACAGAACCACTGCTCAAATGTAAGCACATGAATAGAGATCCGAGGTTCCCTTTGTGCAGCCAACAGGCCATATCTCGCCTCTGCCATTGAACTAAATTGAGAGGCAGGGCAAACGCGCCAAGGCTGCCGTTTCCATGATGCCGTGCCGTTCGCTTCAAAAAAAAAAACCTCTAGAGGACCAAGAATGTATTTTACTTTTTTACTGTCGTGCATCATCAATGACCGTTATAACCGTTATGTCTCTTTTGTTTCTCTCGCTTTCTCTGACCTGTAACTCTGCCCGAGTGTCTCTCTCTGGCTGTGCTTGCGAGTGTAAGGGCTTTTCTGTCTGTGGCTTTCTCTCTCTCTTGAACTCGCTCACTTTCGATCCATGTCTCTGATCCTCTCTTTTGCTCATTTGCTCGTGTGCGCGGGGCCCGAGCAGGCGCGCGGCGAAGTGACTGGAGACGCCTCCGAGAGAGGTTGTGCGGGCTGGCCTTGACCCGGCTGGTTGATTGTGGCGGCTTGCAGCGCGTGCGCGCATCGAGTCAAGGTGCCTGGATCACGGCTGCGCACCGTTTGCCACCCGTTGCATTTGACAACACCATCAGACCTGTTGCCGTTGCCAGGCTTCCATGCACACCTTAAATCATGGCGTTTCAAGCCGCACAGCAGCGCTTGGACACATGCGATCTGGACAAGGTAATGGCAGGCACCCGGGCCACCCCTGCCCTTGGCCCATCCACTCGGGCCTGTTTTGCATTCGTTCACTGGTCTGGAAATAAAGCTTGAGTCCTGATTGTGCCTAACTGGTATATCCTCTTCTCGGTTCTTGCGCAGATGCTCGAGAGCTACGTTGCCTCACCCCTGCTCTCACCCTTGACGCTCGAGCTGGAGGATCGACAAACGCTAAACGAGCTTTACAATGCTCTGCACAATCGCAGCGAGCTCCTGTGGACCAATGAGATGAAGAATTACTTGGGCCAGCCTGAGATTGTCCGTCTCCTCCTCAAAGACATCTTCCCGACCAAGCGTCTGAACGTTCAGAGGTACGCTGTCCGTCATACGCCCCCCCTGGAGCAGTTTTGCTGTTGGTCTTGGGTCTGACTCTGATCGCACTCTTTCCCCTCTCTCTCTGGGCAGGTCACACCATGCTCTCCAGCTGCTGACGTTGCGCCAGGGCTCGCCTGGCTTGCCGAGCCTCGTTCTCAGCGAGCACCTCGAGGACTTTGCTGAGCATGTGGTCCATTCTTGGCTCCACGACAACACACTTTTTTACAACAAGCATGTTCAGGTCAGCGTTTCTGCCGCCTTGCTTGGTGACCATCCTCCTCGCCCCCCAGCCCTGCTCCGCCGGTGGGCCTCATAATTGCTGGGGCGTTGCTCTTAGTCATTGATTCGTGAAGTGTTTGCTTGTGATCGAGCCGACTTTCTGGCCGCGCTGCATCAGAGCTTGCTTCCTCATCGACACGCCCACGCATCCCGCGCCCGAGATTGGCCATACAATCAGGTATGCTGACTCATGTTCACACTCCTCACTGAGCTGTGCGCCGTGCCGTCACTCGCCGGCCCGTGTTGCCCCGTTCAGGTCGTCCTGGCTGCACGCAGCCTGGTGGGTTCCATTCTTCCTTGCCTACAGACGACAATTCCCGCCAACTCGGTATGAGCACTGTGGAATTGTGGGCCGTTCAACCCCGCCTTGCTTTTGATCTTTTTTTCTTTTTTTTTTTCTTGGATTGTTTTCCGGCATTTCTGATCAAGCGCCTGTTAAACATTTTTAGCTGCTCGGTGCACAGCCGCTGACACAGCATCAATATGATATCTGGGACTGGCTGACTCGCCAGCAGTACATGGTGCAAATTCTACGGGCTGCTGGCGTTGCCAACAACGACGCACAGGTTAGACTATCCGGTTTGCCCGGTCTACACACTTCCTGGCACGAGTGGATGACAACTGGTGGAGCTAGCATCGAGACATGGCAGATTCATCCCTCACTATTCCCATGCTTTGAATAGGCATCGATTGAGTTGGTTCCTGCCGTGCAGGAATGGCTGCGCGCACATCACGGTGTCACCGATACACAGCGACTGGTGCATGGCATCACGCCCAATCGCTCGCATGCCATCACCTTTGCTCTCGAGGTGTGTTGTGTCATGCCATCTGCCGTCCCATGTCATGCTTGTTAGTTTTGCACCGAGCCAAGAGCTCGTGTGACCAAAAGGCGCGAGCACATGTGCGGATGAATTGACTTTGACGCTGTTTGTCCCTCACAGCGCATGGATCAGCAAGGCGTTCCGAGTGTCACGCGCCCCTTTATCAAGCTACTCAGCAGTTTACTTGGGCACTGGTACGCAATGAATTTTTTTTTTTTTTTTTTTTTTTTTTTGATTACCTGGACCCCGACCACGCTGCTACCGTTTGCTGAGGGCGTGAATGTCATAAGACTGACACCCGTCGTGTTGGATGGCAGGCAAAGCCTGCGCGCAGACATTTACCCCGTTGCTCCGACACAACGACACAGCGCGGCACGAGCGTTTTATGCGCTGGTGCTTCATGGATACCACCAAGGCTGGTGAGGCCATGAGAGAGGTCGCTTGATGGCTGGCATCTCGCTATTCTTCTAACGATGGCCGTGACGTCTCGCAGTCTGGAGTGGTTGCTAGTGGGATTGCGTGGGTTGTCGACCCTGGCAGAGGCTGAGGTGGCGACGGGTCGTTGGCAGGCGGTACGAATTTCCATCTGGCCTTGCACTTGCCGGCGCCTTTATTGTCAGCCTGTGGTGTCTAACATGTGCTCTGCCACGACAACGCCGCGGCGGGATGGGGTGGAATGGCATCCAGTTGGAAGCTAGCCTGCCGGTGAATTGGACCACGGTGCTGGGCCAAGTGGTCCTCGAGCTCGGGGATGCCGACGTTGTGCACAACGTCAACTATCGTCTCTTGCGCCTGGTGTTTGTGGAGAGCTCGCTGGAGCGCCTGGAGGTGAGAGTCTGGGGCTTGAATTTTGTGTCAAATTCGATTCGAGGCATGAACCAAAAAAAAAAGCAAAAAGGAAAATGGATAGGGGAAAATGAAAGGTAGGTATGTACGATCCCCTGCTCTGACAGGTGCGTCGCGTATGCGTCCACAGGCACTGTTCACGCCAGAATTTTGTGAAGCGTTTGGTGCCTTGCTCACCGAGCCCTCACGACGAGGTGAGTGGGCAATTGGGACTTGTTGGAACTCTTTGGTCAATCGCTTGTTTCGGCCAATCACGTGTGTTGGCCATGTCAATTATATCTGCTTTTGTGGGGTGTAGGGCGAAGCGTCTTTGCGCGCCTGATCTTCAAGGCCGCCGCCGAGCTCTTGGACCAACAAGACGCCGTGTTGATTCAGTGTCATTCGTTGGTGGCCATGGTGGCTGCGCATCGGCACCAAACTGGGTCTCACCGGTTTGTGACTGTTTGTTGCTGATTGATGGGGAGGGGGGGACGGAGGAGCTGCATTGGCGCATTTTTTGTCATGGTATCTGCACCTCGTTGTAGGGGACCGGAGCAGGACACACCAGCCTTATCGTCCTCATCGGGGTCGGGCCAAAACGCCGGGCCTGCCTGCGATTACACATCTCCGCCCGACGCGACGGATGCCAGGTCGGAATTGGTTTCTGTGACTCGTTGGGCCTATTGTGGGATTGTGGGTCGAATGCAAAGGGACGATGGTGCTGATTTCTGCGCACGTCTCGGGTCGATGTCAGGCGCCACGTCTCCAAGCTCAGCAAGGTGCAGACGGACCAAGGCAATATTCTCCGTCAACCCAACCTCCATCCCAGCAGCGAAGGCTCATCAATCATCTAGAGTGTTGCCGATTGATTCTTCGGGGCTGTTTTGTGCTGTTTACCTGTTAGTTGAGCAAGCAGGAAAAGGAAAATCAAGCAGAATCGTTCATAACAATAATGTACGGCGTCTGATGATGCTGTCAAAAGCCAAAACGCCAAACCGGGTTAACATGTCGACATGAGAAGCAGCCCGAGGTCTTGATGTTCTCCGGTAGGGATCTTCGCAGCACACATCACTCGCACAGCACACACAGCCTGGAGCCCATGGAGCCTATCCGAGCCCTGGACGAAGCAAGCCTCTGCGACAACTACAAGAGTGTCTTCGTGTTCTTAGTCTTATGCTTCATAAACTACACATGTTGGTATGGGAAAGTGACTTGGAGTTTATTGTATTTCTTCACAAACACAAAGCTTTGCTACAATAAGTGTGATATTAAGCTACAATAACAACAAACCAAAATAAAACATGATGACACGCCATTCCAATCAATTGTGTGTGTTGATGTTTCACAGAGTTTGAGAGTGAGGGATTTAAGAGAGAGAGTTTGAAAGTGAGAGTTTGAGAGAGATTTAGAGAGAGATTTCGAGAGAGATTTAGAGAGAGAGAGCGACAGCGAGTTCGAGAGAGAGACAGAGCGAGAGAGACAGAGAGTTTGAGACAGAGTTTGTGAGAAAGAGAGGAAAGATCGAGACAGCGACGCCACGCACGCTCTCAGTTACTGAGAGAGAGAGAGAGAGAGAGAGAGAGAGACAGAGAGACAGAGAGAAGAGCGAGAGAGCGAGAGAGCGAGTGTGTGTGGCAACAGAGATCGGCTCACTGACTAGCCCGGGTCGACGGCGGGCAACATCTGCGTGTGATTTGGCGCACAGGGCAAGACTCGGCGTCTTTTGTGCCCGGTGTGGTCGACAGAATCGAGTTGCTGTGCTGACGAACCGTGGCGATCGGTCGCCAGCCCCACTCGGAAGGATCAACCGCTAGCGATCTTGCCGCCGCCACCATGGCCCGGGGCTCGCACGCGATGTGGGCCTTGGCCGTGTCCATCGCCTGCTGCCTACTGGTGCTAACTGAAGCCCAACATTTCACACCTGGTTGGTCTTTTTTGCGCACATGTGCCGTGAAACAACACCATCCCCTTCGCCATCAACCATCTGATTTACACTGCGCTTCTTTCCATGTGACCGCTTCGCTTCGCCTCGTCTTGCTTGCCACCTCACGCTTTCATCTTGTCGCTTCGCGTGCGCTGCTTCTGTTTGCAGCACAGGATCTCCTCGGGCTTGGCACACAGGTCATCAAGGCGGAAAACGCCAGCACCGACCCAACCGCTCCCTTGTACCAAGAGGGCAAGTGGGAAGTCAGCGGCATTGACGGCATTTATAGTGCCAAGTGTCGTTACTCCCAAGGCGCCGCCACCATGACTGCCACCTTTAATGTACCAGTGGCCGACTATTACAATGTGTACGCCACATATTGCCCTCATAACGTGTATCGCACGACCCGCTCCGTCTTTGTCATCGATTCCCCATCGACACCCGATGCCGAGCAAATCGTGGCTGTCAATCAGCGCACCGACGCCGCCCATCCCGATGGCCTCGAGGTTTTGCACAGTGTTTTCCTCAACCCAGGCCCTTTGACCATCCAACTGCGCCAATCCACCGGCGACCCCAACGGTACAATTTCTATCGATGCATTTGTTCTGCGTCGGGGTATCATCGTGGAGGCTGAGCACCCCGAATCCACCACCATCAACGGCACTTGGACAGAGAGCATCGACTATGATGGATATTTCGGCTCCTCCTACCTAACCACGACCGAGGAAGGGGCAACGGTGGATATGAAGACTGGAGCCCCCAGGCGTGACATTTACAGTCTATTTCTCCTCTCCGTTGCCGCACAGATTCGCGATGGCACGGTGGACGTGATTGTCTACCACGCTCTCGGCTCCACACCACTCATTTGGGACCAGGTGCGAACCCCCTCTTATTTGACGATGGCCTACCCACTGGCCAGATTCTTTGGCATTATTGAGCCTTGCGCTGCACGTTCTGAGTACAGTGCCTGCGCTCCTACGCCATCTCACCCTTTTTTATCCCCACGTCTCCTCCTCCTGCTTCTCCTCCTCCTCCTGCTTCTCGTCTTGCAGCATACCCATCCTACCTTTTTCGCGGGCAGCTTCACCTTGGACGGCGCTTCCCATGTCTTAATTGTTGTCAATGGCACCGGAGACCGTGCCGTGGTCGTGGATGGCCTGTGGATCAAGCAGGCTGACATTGCCGACAACGACGATGCCTCACGCATCGCCACGATTGGCTCGTGGGGCACCTCAACCAACACGGCCGGCTACCTGGGAACCAGCTGTTAGTTGCTGGCCTTGATCTCGTTCTCGCCCAGTCTTACTCAGCTAATCGCCTGGCCTCACCATCTTCAACGCCTTGCTCTTGCTCCGATCCTACATTAGATGCTTACACCTCGGGCACCTCGGACAACACGTTCGTTGGATACAAGAGTATGATCTTCAAGTTTGAACCCGAGACCGCGGGTATTTATACCTTTTCCCTTACTTGGCGTCCATACACCTCGCGTGCCACCAACGCACTTTGCTCCGTGTTTAGCAAAAGCGGCGATGTCCTGGTCACGCGCATCAATCAGCGTAAGGCCCTGCCCAACGGCATGTTTCTCGACACCATCACTGCCGTCCTGCCCGCTGGCCTCACCAACTTTAGCGTGAGCAATTACTACATTGTCACCGAGGACGAGGACATTTCTCCCAGCCTCAGCGCCGACGCGGTGAGCCTTGCACCTCGAAACAACATTGTCTACGATGCAGACGTGCAGGGTGTTACCCTTATGGGTACCTGGGATGAGGAGCGGTACACCAGCTCTGATCGCGCCTACTCGGGCAGCACCTTTCTGTTGAGCGGTGACGCAGCCGCATCTGCCAACGTGAAAGCCCCGCATCTGGAGGGTGTGGCTGAATACGATGTGTACATCAGCTACGTCTATTGGTCCAGTCGCTCCAAAACCGTTCGCTACGAGTCTAGCGGCCCCTACGCTGTGGCGGGTAATCGCTCTTCAGATGTCGATCAGTCGGTCGATCCAAGCGGCACCTGGCAATTCTTGCATCGCCAGGTCTTCGGTCACGGTCAAGGAGGTCTGATCATGACCAATCAGGGTTCGGGAAAAATGTGCGCCGATGCCTATAAATATGTGTTTCGCCGACGCGTCCCGTCGCAGCTGATTGATGCCGAGGCCCCACACTTGGTGACCTTTGTCGGATCGTGGGCTTTATCCTCTCACACGCCAGGCTTTCATGGCTTGGGCTACTTCCACGACCTCAACGAAGAAGCTGGCCGCAAATCAGTCACGTACCACTTTACGGTCAGCGCCCCAGGCAGATATCGTATTTACAGTAGCTGGGCTGGGGACGCCTCTCGTGCTTCCGACGTGCCCATCATGCTCTTGGGAGCGAGTGGCTACTCCTTCAATTTTACCATTGATCAGTCGATGCGGCGCTCGCACTACGTAGTGGCTGAAGTCACCTTGCCCGTGGGTGCGCTGGACCTAGTCCTGTCCAACGACGTGGCGCGCTATAGTTATCGGCAAACCTACGTCATTGCGGATATGTTCGCGTTGGTCATGGTGGAGGAGACATGCGATGGAGCAAGCACTACGCGCGACACGTCTGATCCGAATAGCATCGTGCCACGCTGCCGCCTGCAGGCCGATTGCCCTCTAGGGACCTTTCGCTCGGATGTAGACGAGTGCACACCGTGCACCGAAGCGCAGTACACGCCGGTTATCAATAGCCCAGCTTGTTTTGATGTGACGACTTGCTCACCCGGAGCCTACGAGCGTATTGCGCCTACCCTCTCGACTGATCGCAAGTGCCAGTTGTGCGAGGCTGGCACGTTTTTAAATGACACAAGTGGTCAATGCCAGGCCTGTACGGCCAACTGTGCCGATGATGAGCTGGTTGTGCAGGCATGCACGCGTGCTCACGACTTGCAGTGCGAGCCTCGAACTGAATGCGCAGCGTATGAGTTTGAGGCGGATACAGGAGTCCCAGGCCAGACGGATCGCACCTGCACCAATTGCACGCAATGTTCACCGGGCGCCTACGTTGCATCCGATTGCTCATCGACGGCAGATCGCAAGTGCGCCGCCTGTGACAGCGAGAGTTTTTCGAGCATCATCAATGCTGCCATCTGCCAGGGCATCAACAGCTGCCTTCCCGGGCACTATCAGCTTGTGGCGCCCACGTCTAGCAGCGATGCTGAATGCCAGGCGTGTGCCGTGGGCAAGGCTGACACAGACTCGGACGCAGCGACGAGCTGCGTCAGTTGCGGCGATTTCAATGGCTATCAGGATCAAGCTGGGCAAGCGACCTGCAAGCAGCCCTCTACTTGTGCACCCGGGGCTGGCCAGTCCGTGGCACCCACGAGCACCTCCGATCGTGAGTGTGCCCCTTGTGAGCCAAACCGTAGCTTTCACAACGCTGGCACTTCTGCCCCTACTTGTCAAATCGTGACCCTGTGTGGCAAGGGCTACGTAATGACGCAGGCTCCGACAACGTCGACAGACCGAGTCTGCAGTCCATGCCCGGTACGAGTTGGAGTGTCGCGTATTGCTGATAACACCCTTGTCATTTCTGTCTGTTTGATGAGATTGCCACTTCTTGTTCTAACTTTTGTATCTTGGTAGGATGGCACCTTCAAAACCACGGCTGACACCCTTGATGAACAGGGCTTGTGTCAGACCGTCACTTCGTGCGAGGATGAAGAGTATGCAGCGCAGGCTGCGACTCTAACCTCGGACGTAGTATGCCAGCCGGCGGCCATCGTGCTCTTGACCTTCTCGGAAGGCATCTCGGCTGTCAAGGGTGGAGCTTCAGAGCAAGGTGTTTTGGCCGCGATTGCCGAGGCCATCCGTCAGCTGGACAGCGGCTCGTCACTGCTTCGCTTGCTTCCCGTCTATGGCACCTCGAATCGTCGACGGGTTTCGACCATGATTGGCGCCAACGCGCTTTTCCCTTCCGTGACCGCCCGCAAAGCGTTTGAGCGTGAGTCACAGGATCTGTCCTTTACATACGACGGACAGCAATATTCTACATCGCAGACTGAGGTGGGTGCCAGCACGGCATCTAGTGGCAAGTCCAACGTGGCCCTAGCTGCCGGGGTTGGCGCAGGCGTAGCTGTAGTGGCGTTGGTTTTGGTCGTTGTCTTTGCCGTGCGGCGTCATAAAGATGCCAAGCGCCGCAAAGCTGAAACACGCGAAGTCATTGCGTTTGAAAACCCCAACTATGAGACAACCCCACAAGACACTTTCAACCCGGTCTACAACGACTTTGAGGACCATGCAAGTGAGGACGCTGTGGGCTATACCGATGTGCCTGTTCGTAGCAGCGGCGATGCTGATGGCGAAGGAGCCATGGGGTTTGGGGCAGACGACTATCTCGAGACGGAAGGTACGAGGGTGTATACATCCATGTTTTTTTTTTGTTTGTTTTTATCAAGTCGGGTCAATCTTCTCACTCACACGAGCCGTGTCGGTGTTTGAATCCGCAATCCCCTTTGCTTTTAGTGGAAACAGGGGATAATGAAGGGGGCTGTAAGTCATGCCTGCATGCCTTGACGATGTCTGTGTCCTCTTCTCATTACTGATGCTCATATTGACCCGCTGTGTGGCCTTGCACTTTGTGGCAGATTTGGACGTGGAGATGCCCGAGCCCCAAGCCGAGGATGCGGGGTATCTTGAGGCAGATGGCTTTGATGGTGGATTCGATGATGATGATGATGACGCTTTCAACGGCTAGCCTTTGTTTATTGTTTCTTATTCCAACATTCACCCATTAACTTTCGCTGCGCCACTCGCTTTAAGGCGTCTCCAAGGCTTTGGCCTTGCTTGTGTTGATTTTTTTCTGTGACCTTTTCCATCGTTCTCCTGTCCATAACGTGCGAGCTTTTGGGTTTGGGTTTAAGTCTGCAGCCGCTGCCCATCAGCCAGCTGGCTGTTCGATTCATCCTTTCAATTTGTCAATTCAGCATGATCAAATTTCGTCAAACTAACTTTCTTTCGACTCACTCATATTCACTGGCTTTTTTTTTTTTTTTTTTTTTTTTTTGTGCGCATGGGAACCCGAGGTTCGGCTTGCCACCGGCGTACTACATGGTCAAGGCACTGCTTATTCAGCCACCTATCGCAAATTGATAGAAATGTGAGGTGGTGGCGGTGTGGGTGGCACAGCCATACTGAAGAGCAGAGGCTTGTGTATAGATGTGCGTCTGACCTGGTCTGGGAGCTCATTAACAAGCGCGTAACCGAATTCGCGTTGTTTTTTCAAGCGGCGGCGCATCACAAAGGCCAGGCCACCACCCAGTACAAGCAAGGCGCCTAATAATGTGCAGCAAAAATTGAGGTGAGATAAACAGATGATGGACCAAGAGGCATCGGGCATGTTGAGCACAGAATCGGTTGCAAACAAGGTATGGACCGACAACGCACCAATTGAGATGGCTGCGAGAACACCGGTAGTGAGACCGTGCTTTCCGTCCCGCGCAGGCGCAGACGTGGTGGACGGGTTTGCTGTTGTTGCTGTGGTGGTGGTGGTGGTGGTGGTGGGGTGACATGACTTTTTGTTGTCTGAAAAGCGGATGTCAGACGCATCGCCTTGCGCCTGGAGGTGGGAGATAACAAAGGTGGCAAGGGTGGAGTTGGTCGTGCCATTGTTGGATGTCGTTGAAGCATTGAGCGTTGCCATATCACAGGCCAGCGCTTGGTGGGGATGAATGCCCTGAGTGGCGCGCTCCACTGAGGCGTTGGCAAAGAGGGACACCTTGAGGCCGGTCGCCAATTTTTCGGTGTAGCGAATTTCAACCAAGCGCAATGGATCCGTGCCGCCAAATTCAAAGCTGAGGGTTTCCGGGACCGGCAGGGTGGTGCGGTTTTGCTCTTGGGTCGGCGAACCAGCCAGCTCATCAACCCAAGTCAAGGTGATAACAAAGGATGAATTGCTATTGTTCACGCTTGAGGTCAAGCCGTTGACCCAGAGGCCATGGTAGGTACAGACCAGCTGTTGCACGGAGGTTGCGGCACCGTTGCAAAACACTCGAGGAGGGGCATTCTCCGAGGTGGGTTCATACACGATGAGGTCCTGAAAGCCAATACCAACACCTTGATCGAAAACAATTGTGGGCTCGTTGGGAGGCGATGGTGGTAGCGTGGTCGTGCTGACATTGGCAGGAAACGTGGTGGTGGCGGGATTTGTAGTCGTCGTGACGTTTGGCACTGTTGCAGTTGTGGTGCCGTTGGGCGTGGGTGTGATCGCTCCTGTGGTTGTTGTGACATTGGCAGGAAGAGCGGTCGTGGTGCTGTTGGGCATGGGCGTGGTCGCTCCTGTGGTTGTTGTGACATTGGCAGGAAGAGCGGTCGTGGTGCCGTCGGGCATGGTCGTGGTCGCTCCTGTGGTTGTTGTGACATTGGCAGGAAGAGCGGTCGTGGTGCTGTTGGGCATGGTCGTGGTCGCTCCTGTGGTTGTTGTGACATTGGCAGGAAGAGCGGTCGTGGTGCTGTTGGGCATGGGCGTGGTCGCTCCTGTGGTTGTTGTGACATTGGCAGGAAGAGTGGTCGTGGTGCTGTTGGGCATGGGCGTGGTCGCTCCTGTGGTTGTTGTGACATTGGCAGGAAGAGCGGTCGTGGTGCCGTTGGACATGGGCGCAGTGGCAGTCACCTGCACCACCACTATGAAGGGAGACGAAGCCAAGTGAGCATCGAGACGACCAGTGTTTGGCCGCATGGCCAAGCCACCACCACACCCAGTCAGCAAAGACGTACCAACAGCAAGCGCCAGTCTCATAGCCAACGTCGCCATTGCCCCAATCGTCGTCTGCCAAAGACGAGCTCACATCCACCTCTCCCCAAAAGGCCCACAGCTCAGCTTCAAGGTAGCTTCAAGCCAGCTTCAAGCCCCTACCCGGCGACCTTGTCCACCCGAGCCACCTCCTGCCAAGATCAAGATCAACCTCAACCCCCTCGCGCGTATAAGCAGAGAGACAGAGAGAGAGAGACAAGAAGAGACTTCAAAATGTAAGAGAGAGAGAGAGAGAGAGAGAGAGAGAGAGAGAGAGAGAGAGAGAGAGAGAGAGAGAGAGAGAGAGAGAGAGAGAGAGAGAGAGAGAGAGAGAGAGAGAGAGAGAGAGAGAGAGAGAGAGAGAGCTTGTGATAGGGGGCTTTTTGGCCCCCTCTCTCTTGTACTGTTGTCAACTCATGTTCAGATCAGATCGTCCTCCTCCTATTTCATCATCATCAGCATCAGCATCATCTGCTTGCACTCGAGTCGCGGGAATCAGCATCGACGGCCGGTGACTTGAGGCGTTGAGCTGGTGCGTGTGGGGGGTTGGGGGGTCTTAATTCTGCTGGCTCGTTGGGGAGACGGCGGTTACCTGGTCGCTCAGAGTACTGCTGCCACTTTGTTTGAATGCCGCTGATCTCACGTCACAGTCGACAACGTGCACTAAACAGCTGTTGCTCAGAACTGTGAGCTAGAGGTGAGTCGGCTGGCACATCAGGAGAAAGGGCGAGGCCCGTCAAGCGGCTGCGGACTTGAAAGTGGATCAAACCGCGCACCGACATTGGACAATCTACACTTGAAGGGGACTCATGTGATGGGAGTGACTGTAGAAGCAGAAAGCGAGACGGATGGTGATAGAGAGACTGTCTACCCATTGCAATGAGTGATGATGGCAGGCAGCTGTTTGCTGCATGCTGTGCATCAGATCCACAAGAGGCACTGCAGCTGTTGAACGCTTGGGACCCGCAACGTATTCAAGATGCTGCCGCTCACAGAGATGGTGTGGTACGTATGCTGTTTGGTCGATTTTGCCGTTGTTGTCTCATCTTCAAGTTGAATCCGTCCTTGGTTTGGGTTGACCCTATCCCACAGCAAGGCTACAGACCACTGCACGCAACCTGCAGTATGGGTCACGTTGAGGTGGTGAAGATGTTGTTGAAGCACGGCGCTGATACTAATGCCAAGGATTACGTCAGTACCTTCATCTTCCTTCCTCAGCGCCCCTCTGCTGGCCTCAAAACGCAATGTGATGATAATGATGCTGTACTTGTGCGCCATACTGATGCATCACACGATCTAATAGTATGGCAATGTGCCACTACATCATGCCTGCCAATACGGTCGTGTGGAGGTGGTGGAGATGCTGTTGAAGGATGGTGTTGATGCCAAAGCCAAAGCCACCGTCAGTCCAGACCTGCAACGTATCATGCTGCTGCTGTACCTGTAAACGCGATGCCTGATGCATGTTCTGACAGGATGGCAGTACGCCACTGCACTTTGCCTGCGCCCTCAATCATGTGGAGGTGGTGAGGATGCTGTTGCGGCACGGTGTGGATGCTGAAGCCAAGACCAACGTCAGTTCTCCCTTCAAGCCCCATAATGACTGGCATAGCCACATGATAATGCTGATGTTGCCCTTGTATTCATCATATCACAGATTGGCAACGCACCACTTCATCATGCTTGCCAATTCGGTCGTGGGGAGGTGGTGGAGGTGCTGTTGAAGCACGGCGTAGATGCTAAAGCCAAGAACGACGTCAGTACAGTACCCCTCTCTCCTCTCCTCCTTTGGCGGCTAGTGCTCCTGTTTGCCCCCTGTGTCTGTCTCCCCTCTACATCCCTCCTCGCTTTGCGCGCGTGCTCCCGTGATCCACTCTTCTGGCACATTGCTTCTCTTTCGTCTGAACGTCTCCCTGCCATCGTCGCTTTCTTTTGACTTGAACGCGACTTGTCTTCCCCTGATTTCCCAGCCCGCTTTGCAGCACTGCTGTATGGTCGCCCACCTCACATGTTCCGATCGTTTTGACTGTGGCCGTATTCTCAGCATGGAATGACACCTCTGATGTTGGGATGTTATTTTCAACATCACGACAAGCTGGAGCCCGTGTTTGCTGCCCACGAAGCTCGCCTCGCACAACCATCCAAGCCCCTCACACCACCACCACCACCACCATCCGAGCGCCTCACTCCGCCTGCATCTGAACTGCCGACTGCCTGGCTGCCGCCTCTACCCGACTCGGCGCCCACCCTTGAGGTGAGTCTGCTTCCCCATGCCAAGTCCAACAGCCTCATCCAACCTAAGTGACCAATGGGTACCACACACTTTAGACCACGGCCTCTGTTGTGGTGGCCGTGGACACTTGGCTCAGGCCGCTCTTGCCCAAGCGCACCAGCACCCATCCCTTCCCACACCTCGATGCCTTTTTCAGTGGTGTTGCCAAACAAAACTCTGATCTTGCAACGAAGGTTGCTGGCGTTCAGAGGACCATCGACGAAGCCCCACCAGAGTTTCCTTCCATAAACTGGGCTCCCTTCCAGGCGACCACCACACAGGCTCTCAGCGCGCTTGGTCAGGCATTGGCAGCGCCCGAAGCGTTGAAAAGTCGCTTGAGGCAATTGAACACAAGCACCGACACACTGGAATCAATGCTGCAAGAGCTGCATGATGTCACTGCTCGGTTTGAACTGCAACCGGCGCTTCTTAAGCTTCAGACCGTGCTGGCAGCATGCCCCGCTTCACCCACCGCGCTGACAATCGCGCCCGAGACGCCGCCCGCCAACCTTGGTGCAGCCCTGGACAAAGTCGCCATACTACGCGACGTGGGACCTGAGCGCCAAGAATTGCTCGCCAGCGCAAACAGCAACCTCCAGCAGCTGGTGCTGGCGCTGATCGACGCTTTGGACGCCGTGGCAAAAGCGGGAACCTCCGACACCATCCATCGCGTGGAAACACTGCGACAATGCGCACAATGCTTGGATGTGGATGCATCGCCTGCACCTGAGGCCTTGCCCGAGGCTTGGGAACAGCTGCGCCAAGCCCACGAAAAGCTGAGCCGGCCTGAACAGAATGGCCTGGAGGAGCTCATGACCTGGAGTGTGGAGCATGACTATAAGCATCATGATTATTACCTAGCGTTTGCTCTTCACGAGGCGCAAGCTTTGACGCAGCAGTTGCAAGACATGATTGACTGGCAGGCCACGACGCGGTCTGTACTGACGACGTGCATGAGGCATGTGGAGAGTTTAGCGCAAGGGGTTGATGATGAATCGGTTTCTGTCCATGAGCAACTGACAAAACTGGAGACTGAGATTCAAGGTATCAACGCAGCAATGCAGCTCGTGCCCGAAGCTGTTCGCGCTACACTCCAGCAAGAACTTGTCAACCTGAAAGAGCGACACGTCACCTTGCAACAGCAATCATCAGATCAAACGCAGGTAGACCATACTGCAGAGCTCGCACAGCTGCTGCACCAGCATTTCCCGGCCCTACTAGTCTTTTTGCACCCTGAGCAGAGTGCGCTTGGAGCGCGCCTGCGCACCGTGCTCGGCCCCGACGTTCCGACCAGCCTCATCTTGGAAGCCATGACCGAGGTAGACCGCACATTGTCGCTCTCCAGTCTGGGTCAGCTTGATCTTCATTACAATCAAAACCACAAGGTGTACAAGGCCCATGCCGCGCTACCAGATTGCCCTGAGCAAGATTTGGCCGTCAAGGAGTACGCTTTTGCTCGGCAACACAAACAAGATCAGTGTCGGACATTCCTGCGCGAGCTTCGCGCCATGCGCCAGCTTGAGCATCCACACATCATTCCTGTCCTTGGCGCGCTTGTGGATGTGCACAGTGGCCACCCCAGTGGATATTTGGTGCAGCCGTGGTGTGCGCAAGGGGATCTACAGCAGTGGCTGAGCAAGGCACGGCAGCTGGCCACCTCGACCGTGATTGCGGGACTCATGACTCAGCTGCGTACGGCCCTGGCGTTTATGCATAGCAAGGGCCTGGTGCACCGAGATGTCAAGCTGAGCAACGTGATGCTGGACGGCGAGGAGGACCAGCCTGTTGTGCGGCTGGGCGATTTTGACATTGTCAAGGCCGCCGCTGAAGCTACAATGTTGCCTTGCACGGCCACCGCGTCGTCAGGCACGACTGGCTACATTGCACCGGAGGTGCTTTTTGGCCAGGGTCGTGTGGGGGCGCGTCCAGCACAGGATGCCTTTTCCTTTGGCTGTGTTGTCTACAACACCTACATGTACCCAAAAACGGTGCCGGTCGCTCAGTCGCGAACCGATGAGGTCGTGGCTCATTGCAGATGGAATTTCCAAGCGGGAGATGATGCCTTCAGCTTTCCTCATCTGGCGGCCGAGGTCAGTCAAGTATTCTTTTTCTTCTCTTTGATTCCAAGACCCTCTGGTTGTCGTTCTCGTCGTCGTCGTTGTCGTAGCCGTCGTTGTTGTTGTTCACAGCTGTGTTTCTGTGCAGATGTGTGACGCGGCAAGCGATCTGTACAAGGAAACGCGAGCCTTGCTTGCAACAGATCCGAAGCAACGGCCAAGCCTATTGAGTGCTGGGCAAATTGCGCAGCCACCTGTCGCTGGTCATGTCGGGCCAGCCATTGACGTTTTGCGCGACGCACCCGAGCTTATCCCGGAGGTGCGTTGCTTGCTGGCACTGTAATGTTATATTTTTGACAAGCAGACTGATTTAAATCTACCGTGAAATTAGGTTGCCGAGCTGTTGGAACAGCTGAGCATTGATGGGCAAGGGCCAGCTAACATCCAGGTGCAGCGGGTGGAGCGGGTACAGAACTTCGTGCTGTGGGAACGCTACAGCGCCAAGCGTCGGGAGATGTTGCACCGCATCACAAACCAGGAGCACTACACTCGGCTTCAAACGGCCACAGGAGATGCGCCCTCGGGCTCTCCAGCTCTTCTTCGCGATACATCCTGTCAAGAGCGCCTGCTACTCCATGGCATCGCCCCGGACAGATCTCTGCGTGACAAGATTGCGCGCCTGGGCCTCGACCTGCGCTTTGCCGGCAGCAACGCCGGCCACCGATTTGGTCTTGGTGTTTACCTGGCGGACCATCCCGGCAAGGTGTGGCTGCGATGGCTTTCAATTTGCGCTTCGTCCTTATGAGTGATGGTGTTCTAACGCGGCGGGTGGGCGCTTGTATGATATTAGAGTCATCAATACACCGATGCTGGACCCGACGGCGAACGGATGCTCGTCATCACGCGGGCACTGCTGGGTCGTGCCTTTGTTCATCACTCACCCTCTTGCGCAGCGCTGGCCCCTCCGCTCCTGCCCGATGCACCCAACAACGAGCGGTGTGTTGGACGGTATCTGCTGGTTTTTCTCACAGTGAAATCTCTGGCTCTGATGACCTGATTGTTGCCTCTTTTTTTAGATATGACTCTGTCATTGCGACGCCTTTTGGGGAATTTCACGAGGTCCTGATCTTTGACAATACGCAAATTTATCCCGAACTAGTGGTATACTACACGGCTGATTAGGTACAAACGAGTGATGTACACTTGGTGTCTATTGCATGTTGCTTGTTGCCTGTTGTTGAATTGAACAAGTCATGTGAACGCTTTCGGCATCAAGGATGATACGGCCAAGGAGTGGGTTGCTTGATGTCGTTTAGCGCTGTGCGAGAGCGTCAACCAGTAGCGCTTATCTCATTAAGCCAAGCATGGTCGGCCCTATTTTTGGCAAAATATCAAGCTTGCTGACCGTGAACACTGAATCCAAGGCTATGAGACTCGTGGCTCTATTCCACATACTTCTATCCATTGACCATAAATCCGTCCAGCGAGCATGATTCTCAGATTCGTGTGGTGCAGCCATGCATCTGTTCTGAATGATCCAATCGGTGCCATGACTTTTAACTTTGCTGCTCTGGGCTGGTCTTAGTGGCGGTGACACTTGATTGTCAAGGCTGCCCAAGTAATATGCCCTCTGGCGCTACACTCTCACCCCCTCAATTACCGACCAAACGTCATCAAGCAAAGAAATTAAACCTCAGGTCACCGCGCTCGCAATGATGTGGCTGGCCACGACACGAGAGCCAGCCCCACCACGCCGGCACGGCTCGCATGCATGAGCTATCCATCTTGGACAAGCCCGAGTCCATTAACACCTGATCGAAGTCTTGCGACCGTATTCCCCCTTGGTAGCTTCACCTTTGCTTGGAAAAAAAAAAACTGAAACAGCCCCGACATGCGCGGTAGGCGGGGATCTATTCGTATTCATTCGTATCACCCTCTCTCCAAGAGCCATGTGCCTTGAATGTGAGGAGGCGCTTCTTATGTTTTTTTTTTTTTGGCCCTTTTCCCACATTGGGATTTAGCAGCGAGTGTGTATGCGCCAAGGTACACCCACATGCACGAGGACCACGCACACACATGCACGCACGCACAGGAGCCCACAACAAGAAGCACACAAGCAGCAGGGGATCTGCTCGCATGCGTTCACGGCCTTTTCTATCATCTTGCTTGCGGAGTTACTTCTTGTCATCATCATTCACATGAGTGTTGGTGTTGCATTTTCTTCTGCTTCTGCTTGCATCTCATGTGAGTTGGCATAGGGTCGTGATATCGGCATCAGCGACTGGCTGGTGGAGGCGTTGGGCTATTGCACGCGGGGTATTGATCCTGCTTGATCGTTGCTGATACAGCAACCACCTGGTCGGGTGCAATCTTGGCGTTTTGGTTGAGAGAGCACCGCTGCCGTTTTGTTTCTGTTTTTCGGTGGGTGTGAAGGCCACTGATCTTACTTCACGGTTGACGACACGCTGATCAACCAACTACACCTCACTTTGCAACTTATCAACAGCGCTGCTTGCTAGAGGTGAGTTCTTTGGCATATCAGAGGGGAAAGGCGCAGGACCCGCTGACCGACTGCCGTTTTGGATACTGCGCGCGCACGAGTCCGAAATTTGGGCTGCCGTAGGAGTTGTATTCGGAGGGGGCTCATGAGATTGATGGTGACTAGAGATGCAAGAAATTGGTAAGAGCGGATGGTGATAAAGAGACACCGTAACCATGGATGCTGATGGAGAGCAGCTGTTTGATGCGTGTGATTCAATAATGGGTCCAGAAGAGGCGCTGCAGCTGTTGACCAGTTGGGACCCACAACGTATTCGAGCTGCTGCCAAATACGAAGATTGGGTACGTATTCTGTTTGGCATGATATTACTATGAGTTCGGATATGTCGACGCTTGGTCTAACATGGGACACATACTGCATAATATTCGCGTCATCTCACAGGTTGCCCAAACACCACTGCACATGGCCAGTTATTTCGGTATAAAGAAGTGATTGAGATGCTGTTGGGGCACGGGGCTGATGTTAATGCCAAGGACGAAGTCAGTACAGTACCTCCCTCTTCCCCCTTACCCCGATGATGGTACACACCTGTGCCGCACGATGATGGTGATGGTGATGATGATGATGATCCTGTGCCTGTACGTCATGTCGATGCACCATCCCACAGTGGTTGAATACACCACTGCACTTTGCCTGCCAATTTGGTCATGACGAGGAGGTGGAGATGCTGTTAGGGCACGGTGCTGATGTTAAAGCCAAGGCCATCGTCAGTACAGTACCTCCCTCTGCACCCTTTACTCCTATGATGGTGTACCTGTAACATATGATGATGATGATGATGATGATGATGATGCTGTTGTACCTGTACGTCATGTCGATGCCTCATCGCATAGGATGGCGAAACACCACTGCACAAGGCCTGCGGTTGCGAAAACGGTGCTGCCGAGGTAGTGGAGAAGATGTTGGAGCACGGTGTTGATGCCAACGCCAAGAAGCAAGTCCGTACAGTACCTTTTTCCCCTCTGGCTGTAGCTCCTGCTGCTCTGCTTGTTTTCTTTGCGCCTTCTCTCTATCCTCTACACCCTGCCTCCCGTGCGCGCCCGTGCTGCCTCTTGCTCCTTTTTCTTTCCCGCTATCCCTCTCCCTCCCCCGTTTTGCATCCGCACAATGTCGGTTCTCCCTGTATCCTGTCCTGTTTCCCGCTGGTCTTTTCCGACTACCGTCCTTGCTCTCCCCTTTCTGGTGTTGTAACTTCAATCCGAACACCACGCAACCCCTTGTCATCGCGCCTCTGCCTCCCTCGCGCTCGAAAATAATATTAAAATGAAAACGTGCCTCATGCTTTCGTACATTGATCAAATCATACAGGACGGCCAAACGCCGCTTCATGCAGCCTGCGCTGCCTACACTGCCAGCCGAAAAAGTATCCACCAACTCTTGCGACACGGTGCCGACCCGGATACGAGTGATCTTGTAAGCCTTTTACCACGATGCCGTACCTTTTGCGCTGTTCTGCTGCACCTGCGATTGAAACCTGATGATTTGCTGTGGCAGACGGGTACACGACCCGTGGATCTGCTCCTTCACAGGGATTCCATCGAGCTGGAGGTGGGCTTTTTCTTTATTTGTGGTACTGATTGCAGAGGCACGCTTGCTTACCGATGAATCTGCTTCACTTTATAGCTGATTGAAGAACTACTGGGCGCAATCCGTACCCCTTGCTCCTACCACACTTCGAATTCCCATGGTGCGAACCTGATTCACATGTCACTGTCCGCATTGTCTTGTTCTCATCGGATCTCAACGTGGCGTTAGTCCAATGCTTGATCAATGCGGAGCAGGTCAGACGCTGGCGGTGCGCTGCTGCTGTTCTTTGTAGCGTCGGCTGGCGCGTGGATCCTCGATTGTTCAATATCCAAGACCTACAAACGCTTTGTGACTGCCTGGCCGCTCGAACGTTCGCCGCTCAAACTGCACCTACAAATTGAAATTTGTGACGTTTGTGGTTGGCTTGTCGACCGCTATACAACCAGAGAATAAAGTCAAACGGGCAGGGCGGGCTTTGTCCAACGTCTGAAGCAGAACCAGTCCAACAACCACCGAAAAAGAGCGGGAAGCCATCTCGTCTTTATTCGCCATGCGTTGGATGAATGCGGTTGACATGAGCGGCTCTCACATCGTGAACCACACGAATCATGACGAACTCGTCCCCAACATGGTGCTTCGAGCTCAAGCGGCCAAACGGTTCGCCGGAGCAGACAACGCCTCAAGCTTGACAACACTTGAGCCTTCAATAAGCTTCATATAACCGACACAAACGTATGCAAAAACCCAACTCTAATCTACCTTTATGAACTATTTTATCTGCACAAACTTGCTCTTTAGATACATTAACTTTAGGGCGATTGCAACATCCATTCCGCTCGTGCGCCCTTTGGCCTTTCACACACTCTCTCTGTTTCTCTGGGATGACCTCAGTGACTGACTTCTGCTCTGGTCATGACTTTCATCTCTCTTTCTCTCTCTATGACCGTTCTATCGACTCATGCTCTCTCTGTTTTCGCTTTATTTTCTTGCGACGCTCATTCACTCGCCACAAGATCTCTCTCATTTGCTCAACTCACCCGCAACACTCTCTCAACTATTCTCATTGAATACCCGTCTCTCTGATATCAGTTCTCTTTCGGTCTTCCTCTCTCAGCACATTCAAGACAATGCGACGACACCGCCCCTCGGCACCGCTGTCCCTCCTTCCGGCTCTGGCGGCAGTGCTGGTCGTATTGGGCAGCTTGGGATGGACTGCGGCCAGTCCAGATGGCCTGCCGGCTGGCGCTACCTGTGAAACCATAGTCCCGCCCCACGGCAGCAACTCGGGCAGCATCCCCGCCATGAGCATCTCGCCGCTCATCGATCCCGATCAGGGCTTTGTTCCCGGTCAAAACTATTCAAGTGCGTCCCCGCGATGCCAGAGCAAGCGTGGCTTCTTGGCTCGGTTGGGCTGCTCCGCCGCTTGCCTGCTTCAGTCTGCCGGTCTGCGTCCTCTAATCTCGGATGTGCCTGCCACCTCTGTTGTAGTCACACTCGCAGACTTGCACCAGGGCTTGCTATTGGCCGCGACACACGGCCAGCTGCATCATGACACGGGGGACTATCAGCACTACATCTGCAGTGACGTGGAAAGCTTTCCTACCGCGCTTTGTCACAGCAATGCCGACAACAAATCGGATGTGGCTTTTACTTGGACTGCGCCGCACGATGCCTTTGACAATGTCACCTTGCGCGTGGTCTCCGTCCAGAGCTACGACACCTGGTCAACACGCTCCCTCCTGCTTGCGGTATGCAGTAACAGCGATCCCTGCCTCCTCCTTCTTTGCAGCTGGACCAAGACTTTCAACCACAATGACCCTCATACTCTTTTTTTTTTTTTTTTGCACGGCCGCGTGCCCACGTTGAACCAAATCCATCCGTGCCCTGCTCACATCATTAGGGCCCTTGCACTGATTGCTCCGCCTTGTATCGGGACATATGCAGCAGCGCCACCAATGGGGCTTGTGGCGCTTGCCTCGATGGCTACCATGGCCTCCTCTCTGGCAATACGGCCTGCTCAGGTGCTGTTGCTGGCCTTATTTTGAAACCATCTAGCGTCGCCTCTTCTGACCGTATTGGGTGTGCCTTTACTCCTCGCAGAATGTTCGGCCCATTGCCAGGCCTGCAGCAATGCTACATCGTGCCACCTGTGTGCCGAAGGATACCAGCTGGCTGGGGATCAATCTTGCGCTCCCGTATCTACAGGGATCCTATTGGGAGTGTCTGCTCCGCCAACAACCACAACCGCCCCTATTTCGAAACGCAACTTTACAGGGGCAGCCGTAGTGGCCACGCCCAGTGGTTGTGCAGAGACCAATAGCTGCACTCTACAGGTGAAATGGAAAGCCCGGGAGTCGCAAGCCACTTCCCGCCGACGCCGCGAGCCCGACCTTGTGGATTTTGAGGTCAGTTGTGCCTTAATGGCATTCGTGCCTGGCTGGCTCGTACTATTGCGACGCTGTCTGGAAAAAAAATCCGAAAATACTTTCAATAACACGCCTGTGTATCCAGATTACCCTCGGGAACGGAGTAGGATGGGGTGCCCTTGGCTTTTCCTTGAGTCGAAGCATGGTGCGTGTCGCTTTGTCCCGCTTCATGTGTGTGGCCATTGGCATGGTCGCTATGGATGTCGCATGTTCATTCAAGGTCGCCTCGTGATTTCCTTGTTTTCTACAATTCCACAGCCAGATTCGGACATTTACGTCTTCGACTCGACGGCAAACACCAGTCTTCAGGTTTGTCTCAGGCTGGCAGTGACACACAACAGCAGCAACAACAAAAGAAAAGCACACACACGCGCACACACATTCTTTTTTTGGGGCTGCATAGACCCACTTTCTGGCATTGTGTCGAGTGTAGGTGACGAACCGATATGCCACAATGCATGATGATCCCGCGATTGGTCAGTCCAGCTCGTCCTGTAGCATCCAATTTTAAGGCATCGTGGTTTGGGTCGAACGTGGATTGTGCTTCATTCCCTGCTCGTATCTCTGACCGGCCGACATGCCTCACGGTTGCTTCCGAAGACACACCGTCGAACATCTTTGATGTCGTCGTGACCAGTATCAATGGTCAGGCGGTGGCGCAATTCACGCGCCCAGCCGACACCGGCAACCCCAATGATGTAGTTTTTCACACCGACACTGAGGTAGGCTCGAGTCGCATAAGCTTTCAGCTCTTAGGCTTTGATCTTAGTGCCAACTCCCCTGTCCCGCCTCCCATTCCCTAGCCACATTATGTCTTAATTGCCTGGGGCAGCGGCAGTTTTGGGTACCACGGCAACAACCGCGCGTAAGTATGGCCGCCTCTGCCAAGCGTGATCGCCTCCAGCCGGGCAAGCACACAGCCCAACAGAGGGTGCGAGAAAGGCAAAATGTTGAATTTGGCCTCCGCTTCGCAATTCCTGTGCAACCTGCAATTTCTTCCTAGGGTTTCATCGAGCACCTTGGAGCTGGTCGGCGACTCACAGGACATTGACGTGACCAGGTCGACGCTCGTCAATACGGCGACCATTGCTCATGGTACACTTTATTGCTAGCTGACGCTCAGGCTGTCAAGGCGTGCGGTCCCTCAATGTCCGCCCTGTGGTTCATTATTGCGATGCCACCAACGGCAGGCATCTGCATGGTTTTGGCTTGGCTGCTCTTCATGCCGGGAGGGGCGTTGGTGGCCCGCTTTCTCAAGGAGCATGGGCTGTGGTTCCGCATGCATGTGGGATTGCAATGCATTACCGTTCTGCTGACTGTGGTGGGCTGGATCATTATTCTGCTCCACGATGGGGACAACGCTGGTGTTCACGGCAAGCTTGGCATAGCAGTTCTTGCTCTTGCCTTGGTACAGGTGAGAGCTGGCATAATCATCCATGTGTTGGCCGTGAACTTTCCCTGGGGGCAATTCGAACGAGCTTATCAACGCGCATATTGCAGCTTCTGCTGGGTTTTGGCAGAAACATTATTAGTGGCACGCCAGCTGGAGAGGGCAAGGGGTTTGGGCCCCGACGCTGGCTTTTCAACTACATGCACTGGGGCATAGGCCTTGGCCTCTTGGTCCTCGCGCGTACGTCGATGTGGTCATGGCCGCACCCTCACAAACTAGCCACCTGAACATGATGCTGTGTCCCTTGGCCGTTTGTCTGCTGTGTAGCCGCGACCATCTGGTATGGACTTGACAAACTTGGAACTGAGGATAACACAAAATATGGTAAGTCTTTGAACGCACACTCGTTTAGGCAGGCTGCTAAATGAGCGCGCACCTATCAACCTCTGAAGAACTGATGCATCATCCTCGGCACATGCGCGCGCGCGTGTGTGTGTGTGGTAGCCCTGTACGCATGGGGAGTTGTAATCACAATGTCAACTGTGGTTCTCGAAGTGCTACGACTTCGACGCTCGGGTTCCGCCCGTCTTGCGCAAGAGGAGGCTGGTGAAATTGCCCACAACGCCCTGGGACGTGTAAGTGATGTATTGGGTCAAGGCGCATTCTGTTTTTTTATTTTTGCTAACTACCTGATTTCTAGCTCGGCTCATGACTGCGTTGCTGCAATGAAAACCATAATAGATGGCAATCACTTCTGTATTCGCTTTGGCTGCTACGCTGATTGTCGTGGTGGTTCTGAGCTATCTCATCTCGGATGCCCCGCGCAGCTGATTGGCTGATTGACTGAAAGGTGGCGTTTGAGTATTGCTAATGGTGCTGTTTACATGATGATGTTAATATTTTTGATGTTCAAAAGAGTCGAATGTAAAAATCCAGGGTTTAATGGTGCTCACGGCATCAGTACTTTTCAGTCCATTTTGAATGCACTTAATGTTTTTTTAAGGCATGGTTGGAGGGCTGAATCAAGGGGAGAGATATTTCAGCTCAAGCTCGACCTGGCGATGGGCGTCCTCCAGTTTGAGCCGCGCGGGCCGATTTCTACAAGTCAAGAAAGCATGAAATGATCAGCAAGGTGTAGAGTGCAAAGACGAAACTGTTTTTTTTCTTTCTTTTTTTTTTTTTGTTTTTTTCCATTCAGGAGGGGTCGGGACGGGATACAAACTTGGCAAGGTAGGCTTCTGTGTCATGCCAAGTGGTGTAGCGAGCGGGGGCGGGCGCTGCTCGGGAGCGTGGGCCGGGGTCCAGGCGCAAATCCTCTGCGAGGCGTTTCTGCATGTCCACAAACTGGAAGCAAGGAGTGAACACAACAGAGCCCATGAAAACAAAATATCAAAACGAGCCAACCGCTAGCCGAGGGATTGTAAGGTGCATATGAACCAGAGGGCCACATACGCTTTGCATCACTTGCAACTGCTGTCGGTGCAGCTTGATGAGCGCAAGTGCGGCTGGTGAGTATCCCGTTAGGGCTACGGGCATCGAATGCAAAACAAAAAAAAAAGGGGGGGGGGGGGGGGGGAGGGGGGTG